ACTACACTTGATAGCACTGTTTTGCTTACATACCTCTTTTTCCACTAGTATGAAAATCTCTTGAAGACAAAGGACAGTCCCAGCACTAGTAAATGTTTGGTGAATGAATAAATGGCTTACAAACTCCTTCATAATTTGCCAGTATAATGATCAATGGTTTATACTTGTTTCTCTACAGTTTTGGTGGATATCATCTTTTTCTAATCATTCATTTGCAGCCATTTAGTACATTCATGATTTGCTGAAATCTAATAGTTCTCTTCCTTAATTTCTTCTTTAGTAAAGACAAAAGCAATGCAGTATTGGCCTTTCTGGGTTCAACATTTCATCTCTGGCAGTAACTTCTGCCATAGGATTAAGGGGACTCCACTGATAATTATTTTACTTATGGCTTCAGAGTGCTTCAAATTTAACTTAAAATACAACTAAAATGTTTTTTGCTTTAATTTTCAGTATAAATTTAATCTTCTGTATCTTGTGGGTAGTCTCATTCTCCCTATCTGGAAAATATCTGTTATTTTTTTGCTTATTTCTCTATTAAGACTTTATTTTGCTAGGGGTTTTACTAAGTGTATTGTTCAATTTAGTTATTTAATGGTCTTTTGTTACTTCTCCTAACCCCCTAATTGGATGGATTTGTTTTTTTCTTCCCTATTCCTGTTGAGGTCATTATTAAGAGTGCTTCACCCACAAATGCTTGCAATTCATGTTAGAAACCAGCATTAAATATTCATTGCGAATTACATCTCATTCAGGTAAGGAAATTTTTCCTTTTCTAAAAGTTTGAGGATAGCTACACCCTGTTCAGTTTAACTTTGTAATTTACCCACTCACTTTTTACTGTGCTAATAAGGAGCTAGCTTCACTATCTTAATAATGTGGTCTAAGATACACAGTTTGTAGATTCACTATGTTATAGTGAGTTATAAGATTCATTAAAAGATTCTGCATTCAATGTATATGTATTCATAAGATTCTGAGTATGTATATTACATAAAATTTTACAAATAAACAACATAAGCTCTTCAATGAGGAAGATCTAAATTCAGATCCAGTCTCAAACACCCTGAGTTCTTGGGCAAAGTACTTACCTATTTCTACTTCAGTTCTTCCATCAGTAAAACAGTTAAAATAACTCCCATGGCACAAGTAACAATGTACCCTAAGTGCCTACAAATTATGCCTTGTATTCTACAGAGAAAAAATGTTAATTCACTCCCTCCTCCTTCCCATCTCAAGCAATAAAGGCAATAAATACTGTGGTCCTTAACTTATTTTAAGTCCATTATCAAATTCCTTTAAATAAAAGCAATTTGGCCATCAGATCATGAGCTTTAGATATTCATATACTCTGACCCTTTTTTTTACTTTGGAAATGTACCTTATGCAATAATCTAGCTAGAAATTATTTTATATATAAGGATGTTCACTGTAGTGTTTCTTAAAACTGCAAAAATTGGAAACTTGATAACTGTCCAGAAGAAAAAAGTTTAATTATTAGAAATTCACACAAACAGTATGTGGTTACTTAAAAAGATGCTGACAAAACAATAGCATGAGAAAATGTTTATGGTGCTAGATGAAAAACACAGAATGCAAAATTATTCCTATAGTAAAGTCTCAACTGTGTAAGCATCAAATAAACTGAGAAAAAATATTGGAAGGAAATGCATCAAATGGTGTACAGTAGTTATCTCATAGTCCTGGTATTAGTGATTATCACTTCATGGTTGTTTTCTGTAATACCAATAATCATGACAATGATATAATAATAGCAGTTATTATTTATGAAGTGTTTAATACATGTCAGGCCCAGTTCTAAGAATTTACTGTATTAACTCATTTAATCCTTATAACATTTTAAGAAAATTGAGACAGAGATACTAAGCAACTTGACCAAGGTCACACACGTAATTATAGAAGTTGCCAAGATTTGAATCCAAGTCTGTCTCTAGAGCTTCTGTTCCTAACTGCTACACTGAAAAGATCTGCTTTGTTTTTAAAGTTTAACCTAAAAAGACATGTCAATTCAAGTCTTATATGTTTTCTTTCAGTTATGAGCTTTCAGCACTATTTCAGTTGTGAATTCATGTATTTGCTCTGCCATTTGGTACCAACTTGGAATAAGATGTAGCCACCATTCCTGTATGGGTTCCATCTACTTCAGAAAATTCCAAGACAAATCTGCACTCCTATTTCTTGTTCCATTATCTCATTTAACCATTGAGACTACGGAACTCTAACATTCTTTTTTTTTTAAAATAAGTTGTCATTGATACACAATCTTATGAAGGTTTCACATGAGCAATACTATGGTTTCAACATTCACCCATATTATCAAGTGTCCCCCACACACCCACCCCATTGCAATCACTGTCCATCACCATAGTAAGATGCTATAGAGTCATTACTTGTCTTCTCCATGCTGTGTACTGCCTTCCCCGTTACCTACCTATATTGTGTGTGTTAATTATACTGCCCCTTAATCCCCTCCTTCGCTCCCACCCACCCTTCCCAACCCCTCCCTTTGGTTTCCGCTAGTCCCTTCTTGGAGTCTGTGTGTCTGCTGCTGTTTTGGGAACTCAAACATTCTTATTACACTTACTGGCAGTATTTCAAAGAAAGCTAGTAAGGAGGTCTTGGAGGGCCAAATGTGGCTTCCAGAAACTATCTTACACTAACACCCATCCATGTAATACAAATTTACACTAGCCACCCTTGCAAACATCTGTTTTCCACTGTAAGGTTCACCGGTTTCTGCAATCCAGTAGACCCCTCATCTGCCAACACTCACCAGATACCTATCTACTAGGTGAATGGGACCAAGAAAGATCCCCAGCATTTGGGGAATTCCACTATTTCTGATCCTCCCATTTTGAAGGTGACATTATTCTCCACTGTTTTTGAAAACTATCAGTTAATCAATCACTTTGATTCTCTCAGCTTTCTCACCCAATTTGTAAACCAAATTGTTCTTTTTTGGGGACAATATCTTTTTGGCACCAATATGTATTTAAGTATCAATCCTAAAAAGAATTGTTCATAAATTATACCATGGGGAGTAAAAATAACTCCCACTAATGCTGTGCTCCTTTTTCAAGTTTACACTTGATAAATTAATTTTATTACATATGTCACTTGGTTTGGCTTCCTCTATAACCAAATTTATTTTCTTAAAAACAATATTTGCAGAATCCAGCACAGGTAAATGCAGGCAATTCTTCTAACTATAGTGCATTTACATTTCAATGAAGTTCTACAGTATTTACAAAAACTGACTTCATCCTTCAAAAGGATTAACATTATACGAAGAAGAAAAATTAGACATAAAACAATACAATAACATGTGCTGATAATGGAAATATTTATAACCAGAATCACGTATTTTTGCCAAAATCTTACCCTGCTCACAATTTATAATGGTGATAAGCTCAATTACTTAAAAAATTTTATAGATATATCAGTGGGAGGAATTTAACAATTCCCTTAATACATAGGACTAAGATGTAACCACAGCAAGGATGATCCTGGATAGGTGCCCCTTTTAGGAAAAGAAAAATGGAGCACCCAGAACTCATTAGGCTCACATTAAATTGAGTGAAGTAAAAACTGTACTGCCAAATTGTTATGCATTTATATACTGCATATGCTGGAGAGTAAAAAATAAATCTACACCTTCAAATGAATATTTCCCTTTTGCAGCCTCAAGTTTTCAACTTAAGGAGCAGTTTTCTAAGAATAGGTGAAAAGCAGCGTAAAATGGAAAACAGATTCGTGCCCCCCCCCAAAAAAAATGAATCCTCCCCTGCTTCACTAGGTTTAACTTATTTACCATTCTAATACGAAAGCTTTGACATAACAGGTAAATTTAAATCCAAAAGGAATTCTTGTTAGCTACTTCTGGACAGCCATTTTACAACCTTTCATTTCCAAGTACCTATCATACGATACGTGTTTTAAAAACACCTTTTCTTAAGGGAAAAAAAGAAAAGTACCATTTATGCACTCATCATTGAAGTCATCACAATCCCAAAGCAGGATTGTTATTAAGCTTCTTAATACAACTGTCAAAATCAGTTTGTGGATAGCCTCCAACTGTAAATTCCTACATTTATGTCTGCCGATGGACCCAAACTGATTACTGATTGTTATGATAACGGACTTAAATTCTAAGTAATCCTTGCAAAATCCAGTTGATTCTTAAGATCAGTAAACAAATAACAGGCGACCATTTTTAAAGGAATAAAGCCATTCCGAAAACAGGTTGATTGTGGTTGCCGGTCTGCTCCTCAGCAGCTGCTCGCAGTAGCGTGTTCGCGTGGGAGAGGTACAAAAGGGCAGAAGTGCAAAAAACAAACCCACGCAAAAGCCGTACACAAACATTAACATCATGTAAATGTGTCGTGAGGCGAAAGGGCCCCAAGGGGAAAGAACTGTCTGGAGGCGGCGATCAGCGGGCCGAGTGAGCAGGTGTGGGTCCCGGAGGCCCGGGTAGAGGGGGCCGGGCGGGGACAAAGGCCATCCGGGCCAGCGCGCGGCAGAGCCCAGAACGTGCGGGAGGCAGCCGTCACGGGGCAGCGACTGCGGCACCCAGGGCGCGCAAACGCCGAGGTTTACAGTGCGGGGGCAAAAGCTCCCCGGGGAGCGGACCCTCCCCTTCTCTCCGTCCCTATCGAGCTCCAGGCCCTGAGCCGCAACATCTGAGGAGCCACCGCTTACCCGCCGCCCGGGTCCCGCAGGACGCCCATGGCGGCAGCTGCTGGGTTTTGAACCGCGCCGCCGCCGGGCTCCAAGCGGCCGAGCCGGCACCGGGAGGGCGGCGGGTCCGGAGCCTCTCTTGCGGCCCATCAAGGCAGCTTCGAAACAACTTAACTCCGCTCCCGCCCTCCAGCCCGGGCCCTCATACCCTCACGCCACCTACCCGATCCCACACCATCCCAGAGGCCTCCGGCACTCGGGCCCTCTGCCGAAGCGGCGTTGCCTCCGGTCTGGGGCCTGAAATGGCTGCGGAACAAAGAAAATCTGGGCTCCGGCGAGCGCCGGTCCGATTGGCCGGGGGGCGGGGCCCGCCGCTGGAACGTTCGCCGGCGGTCGCCTTGGCAACGGCGGCGGGGCTGGGACAACCGCGGCCTGGGCCTGGCAAGGCCTGCGGACCTGCGCCCGACGGCGCGCGGCAGCAGCCTCTAAGCCCGCGCTGCAGCGTTTGGCCTCTCCCCGCTGCGGGGCTCACAAGCTCGCTGCCCCTGCGGTCGGCACCCTGGCCTCAGCCACTGGCTCGCGAAAGGAGCCGCTGCCGAAGCTGCTTTGCTCCGTGAGGCCTCGATCAAAATGGCCCTGTAAGTGTGGTTGCCTAGGGGCTGTCCAAGACCCTTCTAGCATGATGACCCTATCCCAGCAAGACTTCTGTACTCCAGGATAACCTCCAAAGTGACAGCCCTGCCCAGGGAGCCTGTTTGACACCGAACATGCCGCATATCCCACAATAATAGAATTCCGATGACGTTGGTAAAAAGAAGAAATGGCTTCAGTAGATAGATACGGGCGGACGGCTGCCTGCTAATATTGCATGACAGGATTTTGAGGTATGCTGTATCTAGCATATGTACTGCTCTGTAGGTAAAATTAAGTGACTTATAAAACCAAGGTTTACGTCTACAGCTGTGTATTCATGCAAAGCTGTAGTTTCTTGCTCTTAGAAATAACAAGCCCCCTTTAAGTAACCAGCCGTCATGAGAATAAAATGCCTTCTAATTTCTGAGCAGAAAATAATTCAAAATGGGAGAGGGAGAACGTTTTATACTCAATTATAATAGTGGTAATAAATAAACATAAGTTCCCTTCCCCCCTTTTTTCTTATATATAAATTCTCTATGTATAAGTATTTTAAATTTGCATCACTAAACGATTATTATGTCCTAAGGTGATGATGCTTATCTTCCTTATGTGATCAGTATGTGTAAAACTGCCAGCAATTTTGACTATACTACTGGCAAGTGCTGTATATGTTACGTTTTGGAAATAAGAAGTGGTTATTGTCTTCTAGGCATATTCTACACAAAATTATAGTGCCAATACTAGAAAGTGTTTTTTTATTTTTACTGAGACATCTTATTTGTTAATAAACTTGTTAATTTTCATTTGCAACAACATTCATCTTATAAAACAACTAGTTTATGGAACTTAAATTTTGAGTATAAAAGGATCATTTTTATCATTAGGAAATTGAACATAGCAAATAATACTTTAAATAACTAAAATACTAATAACTATGCTTTCAACATTCTCTAATGTTAATTAAATAGCAACTGGATACAGTAGTGTACAGCAAAAAGAGGTCCCCCAAGTAGGGAGAAATTACTAAGAAAAAAACAATGTAAACCTTCCTAAATGGTAGTCTAGTATATGTTAAGGGAAATTTATCCAGAATATGAATATTTATCCAAATAATAAGCAGGGCTTATTTCTGCATTTGAGAAGTTCCATTGTGGAATAGGGAGCACTGATTTGTACAAATTGGGATGTGTGGTATGTGCATTCTACTTTGCTGAAGAAAAATAACAGGAAAAGTTTCTAAATCTAAAGTATTAGCAGATAGTGACAGATGTAAAGAACCAGTGACTAAGCAATTAGTAAGGAATTCACCTGATTGATAGTCTGGAAAGAACTGAAAAAAAGTGAAGTATCATTTAGTGTATGGAAGAGCATTTATTGGCCAAAATCTGAAAGAAAGGCATACTGATTATCAAATGTTGTGAAATTGAGGTTAGGCAAATTAAACATCCATTCTTTTATAACATTTAAATGAAAGTGAGTTAAAATTTTTATGTAAAATAATTCTGCATTGAATGAAGAGATGGTAGACATGTAGTGTTTTTGTCTTTATCCTCTAGGTTAAATAAAAAATACACATTTTAAACAGTAAATCTTACCATTAATAAGGATTTATTAACACAGCTTACTTTATTTTACTTTTCCTGTTATTTGTTTTCTCTTTGCACAGTTTGCAATGAAATAGTAGCTACCCAATTAGATTTTCTCTTTATACCCAAATACAGTATAGCAATGCCTATGTGGTTAAACTTTGAAGAATTTTTAAATGACATGTGCTGAAATTAAAAACACTAAATAAACTTAGATTTTAACTTCAAAAACTATTATAGATACCTTATATTTTAAAATTCTGTATTAGAATTTTTTTCTTAGGTGGAAAAAATAGACTAAGATAAGAATCAAAGAATGGTAGAAATTGCAAAATAGCATCAAGGGAGAAAACATACCTATAAGCTTTCGCCTTGAAAGGAAAAGATGCTTACTCTGTCAGATGTAGCATAGTCAAAGCAATTGTGAATCTCGGAAGCAGGGGGCCTGTATGCAGATGCTGGCGTTACCAGTCTTTCTGAGCTTCATTTCCCTTTTCTTAAGTAGGATTAAATAAGATAAAGTATGTTAAAAGCTTATTCGTAGAGTGCCTGGCAGGTACAGGGAAATAAAAGATAGTATTATAGATATTAATACATATAAAAGAACAGCTGTTTGAGAAGGGGGAATGGTGACTGAAAAAAAATTGTAGGTCTGGGTATCCAAAAATTGTTAAATAAATATCTTCATTGGTGAGTATATGGAAACTCAATAAGAAAGTGAAATAATCTTTTAGATACAAGCAAGCTTCTAAAATGGAATATTTCTGGGAAATGTTTCCATCTATACTTCTGGAAATATATGAGAAGAATTCTAATTATATTATTTAACACTACACAGTTTAAGGAATTGCCTTTCATTGAAACTTCTTCAACTGGCATTAAGGAAAAAATATTTTTAAAAGTAATTACTTAGAAGAATTTAATTCAAAATTTGAAAGAGGATAGTTATAGTCATTTTCCAGAAATGTGTAGATATAGGCATTTCTCATTTAAAACAAACCTAATATATGGTTAGAATATACAGAAAGGACAAGAAAGGAGAAATTAGGGAGTAATTATTAACTGGGGAAGGATTAACTTCAAAGTTCTTTTATCTATTAATATCTCCTAGTGATTAAAATGTGGTTCTATTTATAAAAAGGGTCTACTTAGACTTCTACTTCAGGGAAGATGGAGTAGACCCACTTTCCCCTATTCCTCACCTAAGTACAACTAAAAACCCTGAATATTAGGTATCAAATAAATGTAAGGTGACTCTGAAAGGTGGAGGGAAGAGGTGGAGGTGGAGGTACAGCTAGGGCACTGGATACCCAAGGAACAACATGATGGTTAGTTCCCTGAGTTTTCTTTTTGCCTCATTTATCCCAGACTTGAAACTGAAGAAGCTAGCAACCTAGAAATGCCAATGGTGTAAACAAAAAAGTCCTAACAAATACAGCTCTGTTTAGCTGAAGAGCCAGGAAGGGGGCACTATAGCAGACAGAAAACATTTAGACAATAACTATTATACCAAAATATACAGGAAAAAACTGTGACCCCCGCCCTCCCCAACAGCCTCCACCATGCCAGCAAAGGCCTGGTGGAGAGGCTGGGATTCCACTCTCAACAAGCTGTAACAAGGTTCCTTAACTCCTCTTCTTTTCTGGTGTCAGAGAAGGTTAAGCAGAGAGCCAGGACTTTCATCTTTACTGGCCAGTAACAAGGAGCCTCCCATCTTGGGGTTAGTGGAGGCCAAGCGGAACTTGGGCTTCTCCCCAATCTGACAGTAATGAGGTCGTGTCTACTCCACACCCCCTCTTTCTCTTTCAGTGCTGTGTCGAAAAAAGCCAAAAGTGGAAGATTTAAATAAGATCCAAAGTCTCCTGACATGATACCCAAAATGTCTAGGTGTCAGTTAAATATCACTCATCATATCAAGAACCAAAAAGATCTCAAGCTATATAAAAAGAGGTAGTTAATGAATGACAAAAAGATGACAGAGATATTAGAATTATCTGACAGATTTTAAAGCAGACATAAAAATGCTTCAATAAGCTATAACAAAAACACTTGAAACAAAGGGGAAAATTTAAAGTCTCAGCAGAGAAATAGAAAATATAAAGAAGAACTAAATGGAAATTTTACAACTAAAAACACAATCAAAATAAAAAATTAAGTGGATGAATTCAACAACACAATGAAGGGGACAGAAGAAAGAATCAGTGAACTTGTGGATAGAACAATAGAAATTACCCAATTTAGCAATAGGAAGAAAATAGGTGAAAAAAAGCTAACTAAGAAATGGGCTAAAGGTCTGCACACACATTTCTCTTAAAAAGACACACAAATGGCTAATAAGAAAAAATACTCAATATCATTAGCTGTTAAAGAAATGCAAATCAAAACAATGTTTTGAGTGACTATAACAAAAAATTTAATATTCATGTCACCAAAGTCCTGGAAGGAGAAAGAAAGAGGGCAGGGCTAAAAAATACTCAAGAAATAATGACTAAAAACTTCTGAACTTCAACAAAAGACACAAACCTACAGATTTAAGAAGTTAGGAAAGTTTTTAACAAAGTTCCAAAATAATAAATGGGGGAAAGATAGTTTTTAACAAATAGTGCTTTGACAACTGAGTATCTACATGCAAAAGAATAACTTTGGGTCCCTACCTCATACCATACACAAAAATTAAGTCAAAATGAGTCATAGAACCAAACAGAAGAACAAAAACTAAAACGTTCTCAGAAGAAAACATGGAAGTAAGTCTTTGTGACCTTGAATTAAGAAAAGACTTCTTAGGTATGTTTCAAAAAAACATAAGCAACAAAAGTAAAGGGCCCCAAGGGGAAAGAACTGTCTGGAGGCGGCGATCAGCGGGCCGAGTGAGCAGGTGTGGGTCCCGGAGGCCCGGGTAGAGGGGGCCGGGCGGGGACAAAGGCCATCCGGGCCAGCGCGCGGCAGAGCCCAGAACGTGCGGGAGGCAGCCGTCACGGGGCAGCGACTGCGGCACCCAGGGCGCGCAAACGCCGAGGTTTACAGTGCGGGGGCAAAAGCTCCCCGGGGAGCGGACCCTCCCCTTCTCTCCGTCCCTATCGAGCTCCAGGCCCTGAGCCGCAACATCTGAGGAGCCACCGCTTACCCGCCGCCCGGGTCCCGCAGGACGCCCATGGCGGCAGCTGCTGGGTTTTGAACCGCGCCGCCGCCGGGCTCCAAGCGGCCGAGCCGGCACCGGGAGGGCGGCGGGTCCGGAGCCTCTCTTGCGGCCCATCAAGGCAGCTTCGAAACAACTTAACTCCGCTCCCGCCCTCCAGCCCGGGCCCTCATACCCTCACGCCACCTACCCGATCCCACACCATCCCAGAGGCCTCCGGCACTCGGGCCCTCTGCCGAAGCGGCGTTGCCTCCGGTCTGGGGCCTGAAATGGCTGCGGAACAAAGAAAATCTGGGCTCCGGCGAGCGCCGGTCCGATTGGCCGGGGGGCGGGGCCCGCCGCTGGAACGTTCGCCGGCGGTCGCCTTGGCAACGGCGGCGGGGCTGGGACAACCGCGGCCTGGGCCTGGCAAGGCCTGCGGACCTGCGCCCGACGGCGCGCGGCAGCAGCCTCTAAGCCCGCGCTGCAGCGTTTGGCCTCTCCCCGCTGCGGGGCTCACAAGCTCGCTGCCCCTGCGGTCGGCACCCTGGCCTCAGCCACTGGCTCGCGAAAGGAGCCGCTGCCGAAGCTGCTTTGCTCCGTGAGGCCTCGATCAAAATGGCCCTGTAAGTGTGGTTGCCTAGGGGCTGTCCAAGACCCTTCTAGCATGATGACCCTATCCCAGCAAGACTTCTGTACTCCAGGATAACCTCCAAAGTGACAGCCCTGCCCAGGGAGCCTGTTTGACACCGAACATGCCGCATATCCCACAATAATAGAATTCCGATGACGTTGGTAAAAAGAAGAAATGGCTTCAGTAGATAGATACGGGCGGACGGCTGCCTGCTAATATTGCATGACAGGATTTTGAGGTATGCTGTATCTAGCATATGTACTGCTCTGTAGGTAAAATTAAGTGACTTATAAAACCAAGGTTTACGTCTACAGCTGTGTATTCATGCAAAGCTGTAGTTTCTTGCTCTTAGAAATAACAAGCCCCCTTTAAGTAACCAGCCGTCATGAGAATAAAATGCCTTCTAATTTCTGAGCAGAAAATAATTCAAAATGGGAGAGGGAGAACGTTTTATACTCAATTATAATAGTGGTAATAAATAAACATAAGTTCCCTTCCCCCCTTTTTTCTTATATATAAATTCTCTATGTATAAGTATTTTAAATTTGCATCACTAAACGATTATTATGTCCTAAGGTGATGATGCTTATCTTCCTTATGTGATCAGTATGTGTAAAACTGCCAGCAATTTTGACTATACTACTGGCAAGTGCTGTATATGTTACGTTTTGGAAATAAGAAGTGGTTATTGTCTTCTAGGCATATTCTACACAAAATTATAGTGCCAATACTAGAAAGTGTTTTTTTATTTTTACTGAGACATCTTATTTGTTAATAAACTTGTTAATTTTCATTTGCAACAACATTCATCTTATAAAACAACTAGTTTATGGAACTTAAATTTTGAGTATAAAAGGATCATTTTTATCATTAGGAAATTGAACATAGCAAATAATACTTTAAATAACTAAAATACTAATAACTATGCTTTCAACATTCTCTAATGTTAATTAAATAGCAACTGGATACAGTAGTGTACAGCAAAAAGAGGTCCCCCAAGTAGGGAGAAATTACTAAGAAAAAAACAATGTAAACCTTCCTAAATGGTAGTCTAGTATATGTTAAGGGAAATTTATCCAGAATATGAATATTTATCCAAATAATAAGCAGGGCTTATTTCTGCATTTGAGAAGTTCCATTGTGGAATAGGGAGCACTGATTTGTACAAATTGGGATGTGTGGTATGTGCATTCTACTTTGCTGAAGAAAAATAACAGGAAAAGTTTCTAAATCTAAAGTATTAGCAGATAGTGACAGATGTAAAGAACCAGTGACTAAGCAATTAGTAAGGAATTCACCTGATTGATAGTCTGGAAAGAACTGAAAAAAAGTGAAGTATCATTTAGTGTATGGAAGAGCATTTATTGGCCAAAATCTGAAAGAAAGGCATACTGATTATCAAATGTTGTGAAATTGAGGTTAGGCAAATTAAACATCCATTCTTTTATAACATTTAAATGAAAGTGAGTTAAAATTTTTATGTAAAATAATTCTGCATTGAATGAAGAGATGGTAGACATGTAGTGTTTTTGTCTTTATCCTCTAGGTTAAATAAAAAATACACATTTTAAACAGTAAATCTTACCATTAATAAGGATTTATTAACACAGCTTACTTTATTTTACTTTTCCTGTTATTTGTTTTCTCTTTGCACAGTTTGCAATGAAATAGTAGCTACCCAATTAGATTTTCTCTTTATACCCAAATACAGTATAGCAATGCCTATGTGGTTAAACTTTGAAGAATTTTTAAATGACATGTGCTGAAATTAAAAACACTAAATAAACTTAGATTTTAACTTCAAAAACTATTATAGATACCTTATATTTTAAAATTCTGTATTAGAATTTTTTTCTTAGGTGGAAAAAATAGACTAAGATAAGAATCAAAGAATGGTAGAAATTGCAAAATAGCATCAAGGGAGAAAACATACCTATAAGCTTTCACCTTGAAAGGAAAAGATGCTTACTCTGTCAGATGTAGCATAGTCAAAGCAATTGTGAATCTCGGAAGCAGGGGGCCTGTATGCAGATGCTGGCGTTACCAGTCTTTCTGAGCTTCATTTCCCTTTTCTTAAGTAGGATTAAATAAGATAAAGTATGTTAAAAGCTTATTCGTAGAGTGCCTGGCAGGTACAGGGAAATAAAAGATAGTATTATAGATATTAATACATATAAAAGAACAGCTGTTTGAGAAGGGGGAATGGTGACTGAAAAAAAATTGTAGGTCTGGGTATCCAAAAATTGTTAAATAAATATCTTCATTGGTGAGTATATGGAAACTCAATAAGAAAGTGAAATAATCTTTTAGATACAAGCAAGCTTCTAAAATGGAATATTTCTGGGAAATGTTTCCATCTATACTTCTGGAAATATATGAGAAGAATTCTAATTATATTATTTAACACTACACAGTTTAAGGAATTGCCTTTCATTGAAACTTCTTCAACTGGCATTAAGGAAAAAATATTTTTAAAAGTAATTACTTAGAAGAATTTAATTCAAAATTTGAAAGAGGATAGTTATAGTCATTTTCCAGAAATGTGTAGATATAGGCATTTCTCATTTAAAACAAACCTAATATATGGTTAGAATATACAGAAAGGACAAGAAAGGAGAAATTAGGGAGTAATTATTAACTGGGGAAGGATTAACTTCAAAGTTCTTTTATCTATTAATATCTCCTAGTGATTAAAATGTGGTTCTATTTATAAAAAGGGTCTACTTAGACTTCTACTTCAGGGAAGATGGAGTAGACCCACTTTCCCCTATTCCTCACCTAAGTACAACTAAAAACCCTGAATATTAGGTATCAAATAAATGTAAGGTGACTCTGAAAGGTGGAGGGAAGAGGTGGAGGTGGAGGTACAGCTAGGGCACTGGATACCCAAGGAACAACATGATGGTTAGTTCCCTGAGTTTTCTTTTTGCCTCATTTATCCCAGACTTGAAACTGAAGAAGCTAGCAACCTAGAAATGCCAATGGTGTAAACAAAAAAGTCCTAACAAATACAGCTCTGTTTAGCTGAAGAGCCAGGAAGGGGGCACTATAGCAGACAGAAAACATTTAGACAATAACTATTATACCAAAATATACAGGAAAAAACTGTGACCCCCGCCCTCCCCAACAGCCTCCACCATGCCAGCAAAGGCCTGGTGGAGAGGCTGGGATTCCACTCTCAACAAGCTGTAACAAGGTTCCTTAACTCCTCTTCTTTTCTGGTGTCAGAGAAGGTTAAGCAGAGAGCCAGGACTTTCATCTTTACTGGCCAGTAACAAGGAGCCTCCCATCTTGGGGTTAGTGGAGGCCAAGCGGAACTTGGGCTTCTCCCCAATCTGACAGTAATGAGGTCGTGTCTACTCCACACCCCCTCTTTCTCTTTCAGTGCTGTGTCGAAAAAAGCCAAAAGTGGAAGATTTAAATAAGATCCAAAGTCTCCTGACATGATACCCAAAATGTCTAGGTGTCAGTTAAATATCACTCATCATATCAAGAACCAAAAAGATCTCAAGCTATATAAAAAGAGGTAGTTAATGAATGACAAAAAGATGACAGAGATATTAGAATTATCTGACAGATTTTAAAGCAGACATAAAAATGCTTCAATAAGCTATAACAAAAACACTTGAAACAAAGGGGAAAATTTAAAGTCTCAGCAGAGAAATAGAAAATATAAAGAAGAACTAAATGGAAATTTTACAACTAAAAACACAATCAAAATAAAAAATTAAGTGGATGAATTCAACAACACAATGAAGGGGACAGAAGAAAGAATCAGTGAACTTGTGGATAGAACAATAGAAATTACCCAATTTAGCAATAGGAAGAAAATAGGTGAAAAAAAGCTAACTAAGAAATGGGCTAAAGGTCTGCACACACATTTCTCTTAAAAAGACACACAAATGGCTAATAAGAAAAAATACTCAATATCATTAGCTGTTAAAGAAATGCAAATCAAAACAATGTTTTGAGTGACTATAACAAAAAATTTAATATTCATGTCACCAAAGTCCTGGAAGGAGAAAGAAAGAGGGCAGGGCTAAAAAATACTCAAGAAATAATGACTAAAAACTTCTGAACTTCAACAAAAGACACAAACCTACAGATTTAAGAAGTTAGGAAAGTTTTTAACAAAGTTCCAAAATAATAAATGGGGGAAAGATAGTTTTTAACAAATAGTGCTTTGACAACTGAGTATCTACATGCAAAAGAATAACTTTGGGTCCCTACCTCATACCATACACAAAAATTAAGTCAAAATGAGTCATAGAACCAAACAGAAGAACAAAAACTAAAACGTTCTCAGAAGAAAACATGGAAGTAAGTCTTTGTGACCTTGAATTAAGAAAAGACTTCTTAGGTATGTTTCAAAAAAACATAAGCAACAAAAGAAAGACTAGATAAATTGGACTTTATGAAAATTATAAACTTTTGTGTTGCCAAGAACTCCATCAAGAAAGAAAGTAAAAAGACTACTCACAGAATGGGAGAAAATTTTTGCAAATCACATGTCTGATGGAAGAAAGTATTTATAAATTGCATATCTGACAAGAGACTTATATATAGAATAAATAACTCACATCTCAATAATAAAGACAAATTAACTAGAAAATGGGCAAAAGGTCTGTATAGACATTTCTCTTAAGAAGATATACAAATGGCTAATAAAAAATTCTCAATATCATTAACTATTAGGGAAATGCAAATCAAAACAATGAGAAACCATTTCATACCCACTAGGATAGCTATAATAAAGACAGATAATAATAAGTATTGGCAAGGATATGGAGAAATTGGATCTCCTATACATTTTTGGTGGGGATGTAAAGTGCTGCAGCTGCTTTGGAAAACAGTTTGATATTTCTTCAAACAAACACAGTTACCATGTGATTCAGCAATTCCACTCCTAATGGAAATGAAAATGTATACACAGAACTTGTGCACAAATGTTCACAGCAGCATTATTTATAATAGGCAATAAGTGGAAATAACTCAGATGTCCCTCAATTGATGAATGAATGAAAAATGATAGTATATCCATACAATAGAATGTTAATTGGAACTAAAAAGGAATAAAATACTAGTCTATGCTGCAGTGTGAATGAACCTTGAAAACATTCTTCTAAGTCAAAGAAACCAGTTACAAAAGACCACATATTGTGTGATTATATTTACATAAATATCCAGAATAAGCAAATCTACAGAGACAGAAAGTAGATTAGTGGTTTCCAAGGATTG